GGGGGGGGGGGGTGTTGATTGGTGGCAACAGCTGAGGATTAACTGGAAGGTGATAATGACTGGGCCTGGGCGGGATAGCAGAGGAGGAGGACAAAAAAATCCCCAGGAGGGGCCTGACCCTGTGGGTGGGGACAGCACTAATTAAGTAATGCTTCGAGCTGACAGCCACACTGAGCCCCACCAGCAGCTCCTGGGCTGCGTCTGCCCCTCACTGTCCCTGGGTGATGCTGAGGTCCCGGGGTCTCCTCAGCATTATAGGCAGTGGGGCTCAGGGCAGCTGGGCCAAATCAAACCCGGCTGGGGGGGAGTAGAGGGTGGGGGACATGAGGGTGGGAGTGAGTGTGCAGCGGGTGTGAGAGTGAGTGTGAGAGAATAAGACAGATTGAGAGTGAGCATGTGTGTGCAAGTGAGTGTGTGCTGGAGGGACTTGGGGTCTGGTGTGTGAGTGTGAGTGAGCATGTGAGAGTAAGTGTGTGTACATAAGTGTGAGAGAGTGAACTGTGTGTGTGTGAGTGAACGTGTCTGAGAATGAGTGTGAATGTGGGAGAGTGAGTGTGAGATGTGTGTGAGTGTGAGGCCATGAGAGTGTATTTGAGAGCATGGGAAGGCCTGTGACAACACGAGAGTGGGCGTGAGCGTGGGTTTGTGAGATCGCGCATGTGAGAAAGTGACCCTAAGAAATCGCGAGTGTGCCTGAATGTGTGGGGGAGGGAAGGGTGTGATTGTGGACATGGGTGTTGTCAGTTTGAGGAAGCACATTCGAGCATGGGTGCGCGTGAGGGATAGGGCCGTGAGGGCGGGTGTCTGCGTGAGGTGCTGTGGTCACCCCTGCTCTGGAGGAGAGGGTCAGGGTGACTGAATGGCCAAGTTGGAAAGGTGAGGTTGCCACAGCCTTCAGGCCCACCAAAACGGCTGTCATCGAAAGGCAGACGTCACAAGGGCTGGCGAGGATGCAGAGCTTGGGCCCTGGCTGGTGGCTGGGAAGACCGTCTGGAGGGTCCTCAACAGCAGTTTCCACATGACCAGCAATTCCACTCCCGGGGCATGCCCATGGGAGGCAAACTTCACCCACGCAAAAAGCTGCATGTGCGTGCTCACAGCAGCTTTATTCATGAAGGTCAGAGTGGAGACACCCAAATGTCCACCCATGAACAGATACATGAAACTGGTCCATCCATACAATGGGGTATTGTTCAGTAAAGAAAGAACGAGACTGGGCGCTGTGCTTACACCTGTCATCCCAACACTTTAGGAGGCCAAGGTGGGAGGATTGCTTGAGCCCGGTAGTTCAAGACCAGCCTGGGCAACATAGTAAGACCTCATCTCTACAAAAAAAAAAAAATCAAAAAATTAGCCAGGTGTGATGGTGCACACCTGTAATCCTAGCTACTCAGGAGGCTGAGGTGGGAGAATCACCTGAGCCCAGGAGGTTGAGGCTGTGGTGAGCCCTAATTGTGCCCTGCACCTGGGCAACAGAGTGAGACCTAACTCAAAAAAAAAAAAAAAAAAAGGAACAAAACATAACTGCACACTATAGTGCAGGTGAACCTTGAAATCTCTGTGCTCAGTGAAGAAACCAGACACAGAGACCACACATCATGGGGATTCCATGGATATGAAATGTCCAGAAAAGTCAAATCCTCACTGATGGGGAGCAGCCTGGTGGTTGCCAGGGGCTGGGGTTGTGGGGGAAGTGGGGGTGACTGTTGATGGATACAGGTTTTCTTTTGGGGGTCGGTGGTGGAAATATTCCAAGGTTAGATTGCAGTGAGAGTTGCACAACTCTCTGGATATACTAAAAACCACTGCACTGTGCACTTGAGATGGGTGAGTCTTATGGTACGTCAATTGCATCTTCTTTTTTATTTTTTATTTTTTGAGTCAG